CCGAGGTACGTCTGCCACACTTTTTTCCGACGGATGTCCTCAAAATCAAGTCACAAAATTAGAATGTCTATAGAAACACACACCACTTATTGGTATGCAAATATAGAATTCAAGATATTTCCAATCATATTAATATTTGCATAGCTTCCTTCGCTATAATCTGAATCCCGTCTGGTAAAGGGGAGATTAATGATCCATATCTTTCACCTAAAATTATTTAATACAAAAAATGGTACATAATATCAGTAACAATAATAATAATGACTATTCTATATTACCAACAACACCAATTCACAATAAGTCCCTCAACTAGATCATGGGCCACCAATGCCTGTGCCCGATCTTCCCAATTACTGCCCACATTTGGGGCATCAATCGAATCGGATCAAGTATTGATGACAGGCCTTCAGTATTCTTTGTAAATCGATCAACAATCTTCCAAACTGCTGCATGACAATTTTTAATACTAAAATTGAAATCAGTTCTGCTCAGAATGGAATTTATGTTTAGAATACGTGAAACAAGAAAAGTTTTGGAAGGTGACAATACCCAAGTTTCGCGCTTGTTTACTGGGTTTGTGATTAAACATGACAATAATATTTACATTGATATTGAAACAAGACCCAAAAAGCTGTGTTTCGTATCGTCGGGGAAAAGCATGACTTGAATCTCACGGAAATTGCATCAATTGTTCTCCGTTTCGGAAACAATTATGATAATACAGACGCCATAACGATAATTAGCTGGCAATCAGCTTAAGACAAACCGCTTACTGCGCCGATAATCATAAGATCAAGTGATTTAATTGTGCCAAACAACACGTGTTTATTTTTTATCATCTAACACAATTATAGGCTCTCATTATTATCGAGACACGCGTGCACCCCTATATATACCCAGGCTTTTTTCTTTAACGCGTCTCACTCTACAAACGCTCTTCTCCCCCAACCGTAATCACACGCTCAACGCGGAAGACGAATAGACTTGGCGCCCTCCATACAATGAGCTCCGCAATACGAGCTATAGGACGAGCTCATCACGACAAGCCATTGCATGAGCCCATCGTTTGAACAGACCAGCCTTTTGAGAAAGGGCACGACTTTGTTTGTTCTTCTAAAGTAAGCAAGCCATAAAATGCTGCACAGGGCCAACTCTCCGTTTTCCCACCAAACGTACAAAGACAGCGGAGAGTTCAAAGTGAGAAATATATTTGAAGCAGAGGCTTTAATTGTAGGTATGTTTTCAACTGGTCACGGTTTTAGACAATTTTTAGCAAGCGGCTGTTTGGCGATAAACATAAACAGTCTACTCATACTTACATAACAGCTACGTGATTATTTCCTCCCTTATCACTTTTCGATTATAAAAAGCCGTCGGCTAGCAAAAGTGTCACGACGCGTTCGCAGTATTTGAACCGACACCAATAGTCACTGCAACAACGATAACGAGAACAAACCAACAACGATACTAACAACGGTCGGGTACCGTACATATTTTGCTCTTAGCAGGCACATATTTGTAATGTAAGTATATTTATCGAGTTGGTTATCTATTCGAGCAAAAGTTTTTTTAAGCGTCAACGGTCGCGCTAATTATTATAGTCATGTCTCATTTACAAGTAATTACTTCCTGTCCTCCTAACATTAACTACGAAAGCCTTTGAGTTGTAAAAAAAATCAATTTGGAGCGGAAATCTTATATTTGACAATTTTCAACATAAAACATACGCTAATTATTTTAATATTCCATTTATAGGTATTTATTTGCCATCCCTCCGCATCTGATACACGAAAAGTCGTTCCACTGGCTTGACAAGAGCGGTGTTGGTCGTGAAGATGATAAAAGGGCTCATTGATAACAATCTAATAAGGAGGAGAGTGGAAACGATGGAGTAATAAATCAAACAAATAGAACAGATAATAAATAAATAATAGATAACTAATCGGTCCACTAGGTGGTTTCTCCCCTTTTTCCTTTTCTACTGGCAGATGGGGCGGATCTGGATCGAGTGGCGGGTGGTTACTGATGAGGCCTTCTTACCCTCCACTGCCTCCAGTGCACCTTGCGGTGAAGGGATCCCGGCTGGGTCTGAGTAACGTGTCATGGGGGATGCCCAGAACGCTGCCAGACATCTCCTTTCTTTTTCTTTTTTTACACAGCATTTAGATTACGGGAGGAAGATTTGGGTAAGTATAAAAGGTGAGTATCGCATTGGTTTACGCTACATAAACTAAATCTACGTTCTCTTTCTTTTTCTTTCTCTTCCCTTTTCTTACTCTTCCCTGTCGGGTTCGCCGGGTGATCGGATCCAATGGGACACTTGGTTGGCATGGAAGGGGGGTTTGAGGGACCGATTTGGTGACTACTTTGCTACTTGTGAAAGATCCATCCCCGGAAGCTGGTTGGAGAGGATAGGGCGAGAATGCTGCTTGGCATGCCGTTAGACGTAATCGATTATCTGTTATTTATTTATCTATTCAACTGATGAATATTAACGCAATGTAACGATACTTGACTGTTACAATATGTTTGTCGATAATATTAATATAGGTTTAAATGACAGTGAGATAAAGACAAAAATAATAAACAATTCAACATAAAAAAAGCGCTCAAGTTTTATAGGCAGAACGTATTTCTAAAATAAATTGCGTAGTGCTGGTGGTGAACGGTTTAGCTACAGATGGTTTTATTTTATCGAATATCAACGAATTGCTATTATTAGTGGAAATATTGGACTGCTTCGTGTGTTTCACTTACATGAAATCAATACTTTGACGTAAATTACGCAATCTGGTATTCTCCAACCATATCACCTGAGCTTTGCTAGAATTAGAAATTATCACAATCTTTGAACCAAGGATTAAAGATTGATTGGTAACACTCTAATTTAAGCAAGTATTCTCAATATGGTTAGAAACGTGAGAGAATTCAAAACTTATATTTTAGGACAAAAAATTTGGACGGGGAAAATCCCTTATCTTTGAGTTATTTTACTTTGGTGATTTGTTTTATCTGTCATCAAATAGGCCCATATTGTAATTAATATGACGTAGCTGTGATATTAAGCAGACGCCGAAAGAAGCTATTACGAAAACAGATTGGACAAGTCATATAAACACTCAACGTGTTCGACCAAACTTGTCACGTTTTGTTATCATGCCTGAACACCTAATATATCATGATCCATCCAATAGTGACGTGTAAAAAAGCCTTATCTACCCTGAGCTAAGGGCGTAATAAACTAGGCGTAGCGACTTTCTAAGGCGCTAAAAGATTGTGTTACCAATATCAAACTTGTTTCGTACTGCACGAAATTAGTAAATGCTTGTTTCAAACCAAGATTTTTTTTTCCGGATAAATAAAACTGGAATTTCCTTTCTCCCCTCGAGCATTAACGGTTTAGTTTATAATTTTTTTGCTGATGGCACAAAATGTTTGGTGGTCGACTGTAACAAATCTCGGGCGTTCAGAACGTAACATTTTTGGCCGTGGGCCACTAAAATGCTTTGTTTTATATGCTTATGATATCACTGATAATGATAGGTGTTTGAGATGGGTGATTTCACATAGAACAAAAAGTCGAGACCCGGACAAAAGTCATCATGATGATTATCGACGTTTTTTATCACATGTATAATACATAAACTATAATAAGAATTTTTTTAACCCTGAAATTTGTATTATGGCTAACCGTCTTTGTTAATCACAGAATATAAACATTTCAATGGTGCTATAAAAAAGTCTTGTATCCCTGAAATTCATTTTGTGGCGTTTGTTTGTTCCAATCCCTTTCATCAGAATCAGGAATGTTTGCGTATATCGTTGTGACGATTTCAGCCAAAACCTTTTTTTTTTTCAGGAATGTTTCGAGAGAAAGTTTTCAATGGCACATCCTATCTATTTATCTATTTATCTATCCAATCTCTTTTCCCATCTTATGTCCTTTTTTTGGTACACAAGCGCACCCATCGCTAAATAGGCGTGGTCCCAGTCTGGATACCCTTGGATTTTCTGTGTAATCGTAACGTATGTGTATTGTGTACGTGGGAACGTTGATTCCCGCTCCACGACTGTTCCGGGCAAAAGGTTCAATCTAAAGGCATTTTTTTAAAAGTCATGATACAAACGGGATCGTATTCGCGCGTGTTGCAGATAATTAGGCGGGGCGCCTTCAATGATAAGTGGCAAATTACAAACAAAACGCCAGGTTTCGCATCAACGAGCGGGGGTCAAAGGCCAAGGAGATTGTCATAGCAATAAAGACAAGACAAACAGAATGAGAATAGCGCAAATCGTTCGTGTAGTTTAGTTGTTATTGATATGAGCGAAAAAAAATTTTTCGAATGAGCAACCCCGTTTGTATCATAACGCTGAGAAGCTATATAAGTTGATATTTATAAACCATATACATAACGTCAACTATAAACAATATTTACAAAGTGGAGTAAATAAAAGCGTAGAAAGATTTGTTACCATACAAAGTTAATCCAAACGAAAAAAAAAAAAGAGTTTTGGAGGATTAAAAAAAGCTTTTAAGGTATATATTCTTTTTAATGGAATTTTAATAAATGTGGCATGTCGAATTTTATAAAGCCCCAAATATTTTGTGACTTTTTTTTTAAAGGTAAAGGTATATTATACCTCTTGATAATCTTATAAAAAAAATTCTAATAAGAGATTGTATATAATGAGGAGATGAGAATATTGAACAGGAGGGAGAATTTATAGACTATTATTACAAACGACGATGATTGAAAAGTTGTGTGTGTGTATATAAGGTAGTATAGAATGAAAAGGGATTTTTTTGAAAACTTTTTGTTTCATAGAGTCCTTTTTCTCTTGCGCAAAAAGCCTTCCATTAATATATTCTTATATAATTCGTGTTTTTTCCGCGATTCTTTCCTTCTTCCCCAGATGTATGTATATATATGACATTATTATTTGATATATAACTCTTCGTTCCTAACGATATTTCCTAAATCTTTCCATAGTTACACCCGTCAAAACACTTGCCCGTTGAACACCATCGACGAACACCAATGCACGATGTCCTTTACGTTGCTTGCGATGTGCACAGCCCTATCCACCAAACCAACCCCATCAAACTCGGGATCGTGTACTCGGCTCCGTTCGGACTGGGAGGGGTCAAAGTCTTCAAAGACATCTGGCGCAAACACGCCGAACCCAGTATAGTCATCTACGTCCAAGTCATCCACCCACGAGCAGCAGGAGTTGGAATATGTCGGGTATGGGAGGGAAGTCGTCGAGTGGGGAGATGATGATAGACACGAGTTGGCAGAGTAAGAGGACTGTATTCGTATCGACGAGTTGATTGGAGATGACGACGGTGTTGCGGTGGTAGTGGTAACAGTGGTGGTCGTGGTGGTGTTGGTTGTGGTATTAGCTACTGCTGCTGCTGTAGTCGAACCGGACGATGAAGAGTGCCTAGACGAACGCTTGGAATTCCGCCTTGAATACAAGGCGGAATACTGATTGTCTGCTATCCTGTCAGACTTGAGCGTTGTCGGTTCCAATTTACATATATTTGTCCGACGCCGAGGACTCCTTGAGATTTTCATTACGATCGCGCTGTCGTCACTGTTGCTCCCACTCTCGCTGCCGTTATCCTCAATCATTTCATCATCGGACTCTTCCTCGTCGACCGCCATGTATTGTTCTACTTTATTGTTGAATCTTATATGGTATTCTTGCGAATTGCTAGAGTCATCCGACTCTTTTTGGTAGAGTTGAGTATCCGACGAGCAGCTGTTCAGGCGAGGACGCGGCCTTGGATTAAATCGGAATACTTCCGATATGGATTTTTTTTTGAGACATGATTTGCAACCCATAAGAAACTTGTCTTGTGTCGATTTTGGCGATGATTCCTCTAATATTGGACTATGAGCAGTGTGGAGTGGACCATAGAGCCAAGTTACGTCACTGTCTTTCAACCTAAAAGAAAAAAAAAAACCCAGCATAAGTAAACGTTTTTAGAATCGATTAGATGATTATTAATCATCAAGTGTATCTTTTGACCACTTACCAGTTCAATTTCGAGGGGTTGACAGTTCGAAGATGATATTTTTGTTTAGCCCAAGTCCTCCAGCTTGCATTTTCCAACCTAATTCCATTCGCGTGTTCGTTTTTTTGTTTAGACATTACCTTCCACGAAGTCTCTAATTCGTTTTCTTTCCATTCGTAGCTCAGATAGTCGACGTTCTTTGGGGGTGTTGGTATGCCAGAAATGTTGTCGTCCGGTATCATTACAGGCAACGTAAAGCTACGCTGAGGAAAGCGTTGGCTGGTTTCTTTCATTGATTTGCAAGTGCGGGAAATACCCGCGGGTGATTGATGTATTATTGAGGGCAGTTTGGAGATTGTAAAGCCGGTTGTTGGGGAATAGCCAACAACGCGTGGGATGTGTAAAAAAAGAGGTGTATAGGTCGCCGCGGTTGATGTTGTGGAGTCGAGTTCTCCAGATAGTTGTCTGTTGTATGATCGATTGGAAGGGTACAGGTATGAGAATATGGGTGGGTAAATAAGAGTTGGTTGGGTTGGTTTGCTGTATTTGTTGTATTCGCTTTTTGTGATTGCAGTAACTCGAGTGTTACTGAGGGTGAGAGAGAACTAGAGAAGAAATGAGGTGGGGGATGGTGTATTTATATCAGTCACTCGGCACCGATTATTAATTGATGATGCTGATGGTATTTATTTTTTAATGCAAGAAGAGAGAAAGCAAGTAAACTCGTTTTTAAAAGGGTGGGTGATAATTATTTGGGACATTATATATACTTTGTAAATAGCGTTTTAGTAGAATAAACACAATGGTATTTAAATGGTAGGATTAATAAACTATGTATAAAAAAATTTTTATTTATAAACGTTGAGTATATTTTTCATGTGCACCAGCGGCATGTGCAGAATATAATTAATATACGCACATCTTATTTGAAAATGTATTTATTTACTAGAAATGTGAGAAAAAAATCGACTGCGTATAAATAATGGAAATATAATAATAATAATAGCAATAGCAACTACATACAATTAGTTTTTTATCAATGGGTTTGGAAGCTGCAACACAGAAAGTTTTTGGCAATAGCGCAAGTGACTGACTATTCGCACAAAGAGTCAGGTCTTTTCACCCCAACTACGTCCGCAGTAACTTACAATACTGTGCATATAATTCATTATTCGAATCATCCATTTGTTAGTTGTCCAATGAGAGAGCGTTTGGATATTGGGATTAGATGTCATATGAGTATGGAAAAAATCGGAAGCAGATGTCAGTCATATAATTTATGAGTCAAACCTCAAACCTCACACTAAAAATATCATGCCTAGCGATCATTTCCGATCAGTTCGTGGTTATCGGAAGCAAACGGAACAGTGTATAGCTAACAGTGAGACACATCTAGGAGATGTGTTAGCATTCTTTGCTACTGGCGCAAAAGCACATGTAATAATAAATGTTGATTAGTTTTCTTTTGCCTAATATCGATATCACACACACCCCACCTTCTCCTTTTCCCCTTTTTTCCCTCACTCAATCCCCCCCCTTTCATAACTGTCGTCATCGTTTTCGGTCATTACTTAGTCGCACCATTTACGCAAGCCTTAAAATATCGGTAATACAAGGACGATCGTATAAGTGACTGCTCAAGTTGAGTAAACAAACAATTTGTATATTGTCTGTTCATTTCCAAGTAGAGAAAAACATTGAATGGGTAACCCTTGAAGATTAGTAAAGTGATTAAAAAAGGGAAACGCAGTAGCTTAACATCTGCGGGACTATTTGGAACCACATCTGTTCGGCGATACTGCAATAAACAATGCGCCATATATGCATATCCGAATAGTTCCGTTAATAATCACAATTTTAATATGCTTTTTTTGTTGTGGTGTGTGTTGTGTGTTGTGTTGTGTGTTGTGTGTTGTGTGTGGTGTGTGGTGTGCGTGTGTATGTGTGTATGTGTGCGTGTGTTAGTGCGTTTGCTTATCCGATATCTTTGATAAGGGAACGAGTTGAAATAAAGATTGGTTTGATTAGAAAGTAAAAATTCGTCCTCTCCTCCAATTACAAGAAAGCAAGGGGTGGTGAAAAGGCATTATTATTATTTTTGCATTAGTGTACTGTATAACTGTGCTGATAATACATCTCCATATCGATGATACCACCTTCATACGCATATCTTTCATATCAGTAATTTTTGGTTGTGATTAGTAATGATATTCATTTATTTACAATCCGTTCAGAAAATACCTTGTGAATGCTAATAGAATAGGTAAGCGGTGTGTGGGGTAAAACGATAAACTAGGAAAATGCTAAACGCTCCGCCAATTTAAAGAACATAGTAAAAAGGAAGTGAGAGGCAAAGGTCAGAACGTTACAGACTACTCGATAAAGCAAAACCCTAATTCAATAACTGGGGTAAAAATCACATCGTCAAATAGACGATTTTTACCTCTCTTGTCTCATCCAAACTGAACGTGTTTTATTTGTTGGATACATGAATTCCGGCTGCTCATATTGCAAATCATTTCGTCCATTTCGTCCATTTCACCAATTTCGTCCATTACACCCATTTCACCCATTTCGTCCATTACACCCATTTCACCCATTTCGTCCTTACCCTATCTCTATTCACGGTCACACCGCAGCACTGATCATTACCCTTTTGAAATGCTGCGATAATAAACTTGTCCAGCTGTTCCCCCCAGCTGTCCTCCCCCCCCCCTCGCCTCACCCTCCCCACCAACTGTCCATAGCGCTTTTACAGTATTTCTTTTTATTGTCCTACCTGGTTACCATAGCACAAAACACTACATGCAATCAATCAGGTTTGTCTTGGTGGCGCTCGCTATTGGTTTTTCGATTATCGCACGGATGAAATAATAGACTTTTGTAGGTTGGGTAATGTCTGTCTATTATATTATTTTATTATTTTGCGTGCGATAAGAACAAAAAAAGGTATTAATAATGTTGTACGCTACTCTTGACGACCAAACAAACCATCATTGTCGTCGCACTATGCTCTGGCTATCAGATATGTATATTGAAATCTCTCTTTGTTTCTCATCCTTTGGCCCAGACCTTCTCGCCCCACTTGTCCATATCTGTATTAATGCATAAATGACATCGTTCAGTTAGCATGGTGCTTGCGTAGACATGTGGCAAAGTTTGTCCTTGGTTCTTATCAGTGCATGTTTGTGAGCAGGTGATATAACACAGTTGCCATATCAGCAAAGTCTTTGTCAAGGTGATTATATGGAGAGAGAAAAAAACCCCGAAAATCGAAACTATTAAACATATGCAAATCGCGTCATATACATAAACTCACGTTGTTTCGATGGAAAAAGTCGCAATTTCACAATGAAATAGACTCATGATGATGATGATGATGATGATGAGGCAACCCTTATTACAACATGTCATGTTATTATTAGCACATATTGACATGTCAATGTGCTTAATAATCACAATAAGAATTGTTCACACAGCCGATCGATCCAAACGTTCAAATTTTGTCCACTGTTCTTGGAGGGTACCCACCCGTGTTATCAATCTCTAATAATGGACATTGGTCAGTCCCAAGCCCACTGACAAACAAATCAAGTGAATATGTTCCAAATACCCGCCAATTTGCATATCAAAACGTGACTGTCAACAAACAAAGTCGATGCAGATGCATTTAAATAATTATAATGTCAAACTATTGTTGATTGCTGTACAATTATTGATTGCCCTCATTGTTTAGGTCTACGTCCTCTTACTCTCTTTTTCTTTTTGCTTTTTCTCACATGAATGTGATAATAATAACATAAACACACAAAGCATTTCTAAAACATTATAATGGGAAATAATGTTACCATAACCATAACCATTGAGAGAAAAAGTCAAGGGAACTGACGTGAGGAACTGACGTGAGGAACTGACAGCACAGCTCATCAGATGCAGAGGGCATGTATCTTGGGTAACAAACAATGGTTTGTTTATTCGCTACAATGGGATTACAGGGGTCTAGATATTGTAATTGTACCACAACATTCATCAACAATATCAAATATTTCCATAGTACTGCCCTGCCTGGGTTTGATGTTCAAAGAGCATAGCCCGATACTCTAAATTATTTGTCGTATTCCATCTCTCTCTTTGAATAGAATGAGTTCATATTGTCATAACGTGCTTGATATCGGGCAGATCATCTCGATCGATTTTCGATTGCCAAGTCGAAATCATTTTCCGCAATAGTCAAGCTTTTTTCATCTTAATTGTCCGTAGCCGATCCAACCAACAGAAACTCTATTATTACCATACACTGTTAAACACGTTGATCGTACACAGACTCGCATATAATACTTTAAACGTATCCCATCAGAAATCTGCTTTTAACAATGTGGTTTCACCGATATGATTCTCTCTCGCTCGGGTTTTACAAAAATTAATCAGCACCCTTCACATGAACTGTGTGACCACAAAGACCGAGTTTTACCATATGAAAAAGGTTTGATGTGCGATAATCTACATAAAAATTGGTTGTATGAATTGAGCTACTTTGGTACCCATCAATAATGTGATACGTTTATTTAGTAGCTAATGCATGCACGAGGGGTTGTTCCATAAGAATGGGAGAAAACTTGTTTTAGGTAGATGTACTTTAACTCATCGATGGGGTGGTTGTCGTCATTATTTTGAAATACGTTACATTGGGAGAATTTCTAATTGGGCAGCATTTCTTGCAACACACATGCTGCAGAACTGCGTTGAAGTAATGCATATCGACATCATCTTGCTGGGATTTTTTTTCCATTCAAAAAAAATATCAAGTTTCAGTTTATTCATAGCTTCTTGCCGCGAATGACTTAAACAGGTGTAACCATTTTCTTCTATCTGAAAATACGGCCTCTTTTTTTTTTCTTGGCTGCAAGATTAGAGTCAAAAATGGTCTAATCCATCTTCTATAAAACGGGAGAAACACAGCGGATGATCCAGCAAATATTTTCGTCTTGAAAATCTTATGTTAATTGACTAAACCATTAGTGCATAAATTTGTTGTCGATTATCGTTGATATTTTTAGAATTTGACTCTGGTTTGTGTGAAACCCACATTCATTCTTTCTCTTTTTTTTTTCCTTGCAAATCTACAAGAAAATGGTTTATAATTGGTTAATAATAGCCGAATTCTGAGGAGGGAGCAGCGATCTCTTGCGGTCCGGTTTCATTATTTGTTACGAATATCTGTTGAGTTAGTTAGGCAAGTTGGCGGTGGCGCCATCAATGCAATAAGTGAATCTCTGCAATTTGAGACTTTTTTTTTTCCCCTTTCCCCATACTCTCTGTACAATTGGCCCCTTTTCTTTCTCTTTTCCCCACTCCCCAATGTCTATACGCCGTTTCCCCATACTTTTTCTAACATCTCAATTTCCCCATTAAGCTTATTCTACCTGCAATTTAATATAACACATATGATATTCTTCTCAACAATGAATTAATACGTATGCAGAATGCAGCGTCATTAATAATCGCTTTCCCCACAAATTCCATATCCTTTTTTAGATTAGCGTGAGTGTAAACATAACAAGAAGCAGACTTGCAATTTATTGACATACTATAAATGATGTTATACAGTTAATTAATACTAACCGTGTTGCAGTATTGTAATTATTGTTCAAGTTTTGCTATTATTGTTGGATATTCCAGTTTTCCCGTAATGGTTGGGGACTGAATAAACACAATGTAATACGGACACACTGATACTAACACTGATACTAACACTAATACTTGTAGACTAGAGAATTGTTCAATTCTCTCCCCAACAATTGACGTAATTCAGAATGTCAACGTACATTCGGTTCGATATGAATTGATTGCATTCATTAAATTCAATTGAATTCCTTAAACCTTATTATTACAATCCTTTAATGTACACTTTAAATTTCATTTAACCAAATTTGTGTCTTAAGGTATTCGGTCTCCCCAATGTCGAAAGAAAAAAAAAAAGCCCCCGTCTCACTTTCCCTCCGCCCTTTCAAGAACATGAACCTTATTCTCTTAATTTCCCAGGCACACAAAAACGTTGCAAAAGTGTGGGGTAAAAAGGTCACTTGGGTCCTTCCAAACAATCCAAACAGCGAAACTTATCAATTGTGTAGAATAAAAGGGCTATTGTTATATGGCTTGGCATTTCAAATTCGCATAACCAACCCAAGTGTTTTGTGTTCTTCCCCGAGTCACCCCCGAGTCAAAAAATTACAATTCTTTCTCAACAATTCATTGGCGAATTGCTAGATCTTCAACTGAATAATAGCAAATCTCAATCTGCCATAATTAGGCAAATAAACAGGCAATTATTCTTGTCCTTTGTTGTTATCTATTATTCTGTTCGTTGGGGTTAGGCACTCATCTATTGGTCCACTATTGTACGGATCTACCCAAGTCACGTTAGACGACCGGGGTAACCACCATTAATCTTAACATGATAATAAGTGTTATGATGGGCATAAATGATTGGATAAAATGTCACAATGGGATTGTATTTATTGTCGCTGCAATAGGAAAACTGTCCAATGTTAATTAAAGCTGGTCATTATTCTGAATGTCCGTATTTGGAAAGGGCGTGGGGAAAAAGGTAACCCCATTGACTTTACCAATTCGAGAAACTTTGCCAAAGAAGAGAAAATTTAAGGCAAAGCCTCAACATTTTCCAAATGGTTAAAACCCGCGAAACAAAAGCCCGTATTAGAAGATCTATTGAAGAATTAGGACCCGATTTTAAATATTTAAACGTATTTCATTTAAAACTGAGAAAAGGAAATATGTCATTGTGGGGTGGGAAAATCAACATGCAGATTGGCGAGAAAAGAATAAAGAACCTTTTTCGAAGGCAAAAAAGAAAAAAAAAGAATGAAAAGGAGAAAGAAGAGAAAAAAAAAAGAAAACTCAGTATTTGAGTATTAAAAGTTTTTATGTGGTAAAAGGATAAGGAATTTTGCAGTTCTCAAACTCATTTTTAACCGCTTATCAATTGGGTTACCGATACTACGGATCTATCGCATTGCGTTAGTTCGTTTGTGGCTAGGCGTTATAGAAATGAGAATACGCAATTGTTGTCCTAATGATCGAAAAAAGTTCCAGAGTGAAGATCAAAATGTAAAAGCCTGCAACTCGTTGTGTCTCAGACTATGCAGCACAGCATCTCTATCAGTACTGCGTTCCCCAAGGTTTTTTTTTGAATGGGTTCTTGTTCCTTTTTTTACCAAAAAAAAAAAAAGGAAAGAGAAAGAAAGAGAGAGAAAGAAAGAGAGAGAAAGAAAGAGAGAGAGAGCGAGATTTCTAAACCAATGATATCGATTGGTCACCCCGTTATCGATATCCATTGGAATTCTGCTTCTTTCCGCGATTCACAAAATATTTGATCTGCTTCTTTCTTCCAAGCCCAGCCACAATTCACAGTGTGTAACTGCAGTTCATGCAATCCTCAGTCGGGCTTGAGTATGAGTAACACACACAACTGGCTTTCGACAATTTTGCAATCGGGAATCTTTAAACTCGAATCATTGTAACGTTGTAAACGAAGATCCGGGCTAATAGATTTACCACTTGCACGCTTCCGATTGTTTATTTGAAAATGTTCTTTGTGCCTGAGAAAAAAATCTTGTCGAAAGCAATTAGGTAAGACAGAGAGAACTGGAGAATGAATTGTTAAGATGCGTGAGCAGAGCAGAGTAGAACAGTAGACCAGGAGAGCAATAGATTAGTAGAGCAGTATACCAGTTAGACCAGTAGAGCAATAGACCAGTAGAGCATTAGAGTAGGGTACACTATTTTTTTTGGATAAATTACTCCATTGTCAAAAGGAATGTGTCACATTGATAACGAGTATCGAAATGGGGCGTCATCAAGTTTGTGTATGCAGACAATAATGATAAATCGGCTAAAGTGCATTATTGAATGAAAATAACCCAGTTAGTGAATGTGGGAGATGCGGGCAATGAAACGTTTGCTCGACTCCCGATTGCAGATGGGGTTCTAATGGAGTACTGACAAAGAATAGATAACTGAATAAGACAAATATAGACGCTTCAATAAAGAGAAAGATGTCAAAGATAATGGCAGATAAGAGTTCAAGCAATAATTGTTATCTGTCGTTATCTATCGTTTAGTTGTTGTATGGTTGTTGTATGGTTGTTGTCGTTATCATTGTTATCATCATCATTATTACCGTTATTATTGTTATTGTTATCATCATCATTATTACTTTTTATTATTGTTATTATTATTGTTGTCATTAATACTAATGGCACTCTTATCAGGCCATCGTTATCGTTATTGTTACTTGTAAAAATAATCGTCTTGTTGAATTATTAGATCGACGGTCAGTATTGCCGTCTCTGTCCATAATTAAAAGCAAAGTCTATTATTCGGCCGTTGTCGATCTCTTCCTCGATGCATTTGGAAATAGCTTAACGTTTAGAACATTGATCATGCTTGTGTGTGAGAAATGTTTTTGAATGGGAAGAGAAAACAGGGAATCCCATACATAAGCAAAGGCTATCGAATAGTATTAGATTATAGGCGGATAAACTGGATATGCAATATACTTATTTGGTAAATTGGTGATGTGCCGATAACACCATTTGTACATTTCTTTGCTATCATTCGCTCCATCAACTGCATGAGAAAAAAAAAAGGTCGCAACTGGTCAACTCGTTTGTCCCACGCAATCCCAATGCATTTCTGCTGTGCATTTTAAATGTCACGCTTTTTTAAACTAGGTAGAGAACTTGCGCATGACCTACTTTTGTACATACATCACGACTGTGTCGTCATCACAATTACGAGTGGTCACGTTGGCACTGTCACATCATCTGACGATTTTTGTCGTCATTTCGGTAGAAGCTTGTTATCGAAAATATAGTACCTTTTGAAGATTTCGCGTTCATAGTCGGTTGCACTAAGGGTTGACCGCTTCTCGCGCTAGCTAATATCAGAAAATTGTGTCAATTGCTCTACCATTAAACGTGTCACGGCAATAACGAAAATTGCAGTCGACATTGCGCAATTCAAAGAGATCCCCTCTGAGCAAAGCGAGATCGGTTGTTAAATACGAATTAGGGATACACAACAAGTACGAGATTGTCCAAAGGCACTCTAATCGAAAGTAATAATCCAACCAGTCGATTTTTTTTTGTTGGTAGATGATGAGCGCAAACATTTAACTATCCGACTATTAATAATAAGATGAATAGCCAACTAGTCGATTTAACACGGTGATTGTTTGAGGAAAATTTTCGTGCAATTATAATTACAACGAAAACAAACGTATAACCTTTTGCGTCATATTATGCGAGAAGACTCCAAGTACGAGGTTAACTCACTCGGCGCGTCCGTAACGTCATTCAAATGTAATTAATTTTTTTAGTCGCTAAGCGGTACATAACAATAATTGTTGTCTGTTCTCTATATTATTATTATAAAGCCCGAATTTTGATTATCCTTATGTTGCAGCAATTTGGATTTACGTTTTTACAACTTGATTGTTTAAAAGTCGCGGCAACTAATAATGTCTTTGGTTACAAAGCTTTATCACGCAATAGTACCTCTGCTAAAACAGTTATCCAACTCGCATCATGAACCAGCATCGATCGTGCATGCAAACACACGCGCTACAAGTTTCTCGCGAAACTTGGATAATTGAAACAAATACTTTAACATAAAAACCCGCGATTTTTTTCTCTCTTTATTTTCCTTTCATTATGTATAACTCCCGAATCTGCCAAGCTGTTTGTAAAATCGGTTTTGTTAAATTATAACCGAAAATCTATACCGATTACTCTATTTCAGTAATTACAACTCATCGTGACCCTCCGGTTTTGGGAGGACGGTCGAAGAGACACTTGACGGCTCTTGCTGGCCGGTTTTTTCGCTGCTGGTCGACGTGGATACAATTTTATCATCTTCGTCACATGGCCCGATACCAGTAGAACACGCCAGACTCTTTTTCTCCTTTGCTATCCTCGACGCAAACGCGGCCACTTCGTTATCATAGGACTCCCATTCCGGAACTTGACGACGTGCACGATCGAGTTTTGGTTCCTTGGTTAACGGATTATTACACTACAAGACCAATCGACACACGTTAACACGCACACATTTAAAAAAATATATATATATAGACATGTGTAATTTTTTTTTGCGGATGGTTTACCAAATCAATAGTCTTTGCAGTTGCCAGTGACTCGTCGCTGCACCATGTCTCGCACCACAACCACTCTTGCGGCAATGAAAAGATGGGAACATCGTGTTGCATGTTATTCGGCAAATCCTGATCGAGATTGGCCAAGGAATTGGGATCAGAGCTTAACATTTGGTATTGACCGCGTAACCGGTCACCAGCCGCTATCTGACGGAATCGATGCAAGTCAATGACGTATAATGCGCTGTTTATTATACGCGTCACAAGGGTTTTTAGTATGTGAAAATAAAAACTGTAACGTAAAAGAAAAAAGACAACTTCCCCCTGAATACCTAATATGATAGGGCTTGCCACGCAAATGATCCTTCCAATACCCTCCTTTCCAAAAACGAAATCCATCCATTTCTGGACGATTGTCGCAGAACGGTGTGTATCCATATGGTGCACCCTTGAGGTCCATATCTATTAATTCTTTCAAGTCTGTGCGCACGATTTGGTCCGCGTCCACAAAGATCACTTTACCCAGGTCAAGAGGGAAAAGCACGTCAAGGAATAAAATTTTGTACCTAGAAAAAAGTTCAAATTACGACACTTTTGGTAAGCCTTCAATAAGGAATACGTGGTAATGCTATGCCAATTTGTCAGACTCTTCGTTTAGTTAGTTACGAATCGGATCAATTTTGTCATCTAACAAGAAGAGAACATTTACGACCCAAAAATACCAGCCGATCCCGATTGTGGTTGTACTTTGAGTCTGGCAGTCACTTCCGATTCGTAGCACCGTAAAACTTATCGCACCAGAAAACCACCCCAAGTTGATAATACTTGCCCCCATATCGTCCGTTGTTTCTCTTTTTGCTTGCGAAGCCAATGTGGCCATTTGTAAGTGACGAGTTCGTATTCGAATTTGTATTCTTTCGCCATCTCACCTATGAATTTCTGTAAGTCAACGTTCGTTAGCCGACTCGTCATCTTTGCAATCAGTAAAAAGTAAATCGCCTTTGTACCTTGAACGACGGTGATAAAAAGTTCTCGATAAACCAAAACTTGACTGTGCTCTTGGTATGTCGCAGCACGCCAATAATCATAATAGACAAAAATCGTTCGTACAGATGACCCGAGGCGACGGAAAATATGTTGATTTCAGCATTATCTTTTGTAATTTTGTCCTTGTTCGAGAATCTAATAAATGTACGAGTTTGTCACATGAAAATTAGAGTTTACTTGAGCATTCCCTGTAATGTTACTTTACCAACGAAAAGTACTTACTTATTTTTAACAAAATTCCATATACCCTCTTCCTTGTTTTCGCTTCCTTCCAAAACGTCTTCTCTTTCCATACCAGGTTTCCGTTTAACCCTCGGATAAATTAACGTACCCTCAAAATTCGTAATGACAATATCCACGCCAGTCTTATCGACTCGTCTACTATACCAGCCTTCACTCCCGACACTTTCAATCTCGTATATTTCTTTCGATCGCCCTTCTCTCAGTCCCAACTCCCAGACGCCAGGATTAGCCTTTAGTTGAAAATATCCTAGATTCGCCATAACTATCGTATCTTCCATGGCAGGTTGTGTCTTTGTTCCGAGAATGAGTTGCAGTCCGCGTGGTGTCATGCCCGAGGTATCGCGAGCATGTCCTTCGACAAGAATGTTTTCTAGTTCGAAAATGGCTTCGATCGGTTTGCGTCGAGAGCGCGAGTCGAGAGCAGATAAGCGAAGGTTGTCGAGATCGTAAATGCATTCCGTAGGTGTTACGAGCCAGGGTTGAATCGTGTCGACCGAAAGTGTGAAGAGTGGCTCCGTTGGAAGAGAATTAAACGTGGCCATTGGTGGCATTAAAGTACTAATGATAAAGATGAAAGTTCGTTAACTAGAGCAGGTCAGATAAGCAATTCTTGCAAAACACTAATATTACCCAGAATCGGAATCAAATACGGGTCTTGACGGCAGAACATAGCGATAGAAGCGTTTCAAGGGTAATTCCTCCAACGCAAGGAGTGGGTTAAGTCGTACTTCGATGAAGACACCTTCTATGTGAGATAAGACCTAATGAAAAAAAAAAGTTATTCTGTCAAACTGCTTAAACTTTAAACACATACATATCATTTACTAACCTCGAGAATGGCCGACCACTTTTGTGCAATTTCGCTCAATGGATCAAGTAAAACTTCAAACTGATAAATGGCCGTCTCAATGTCACCGGTGTGGAATCGACTGTAACAATTTGATTGAATACACGAAGAAAATTAAAGACCAGACCACAACCATCAAACCAAGTCCGAAATTAACGGAATAATAAAAAAGTACCTCAAACCGCTTTCAACTTGTCCGACTGCATGTTTCCGACTAATTTCATCCTCATCCATTATTCCAACTGGAACATCAGACACGGTCGACGCGGATACGATGGACGTCAGTTTGGCTAAAAATTCTGCATACTCTTCCCTGCAACAGAAGTGACAAACAGTTGGCAAAAAATCAAATTGCACAGATATTCGAAGGAAAAAAAAATACTTGTATTACCCATCAAGTTCAGTCTTTAATTCCAGACTGTTTACAGTATTGATAACAGGTACAACACGTTCTGCCGTCTCGATGTTAAGTAAAAGATGAAATTCATCAGCCAGAAATATCTCTTTCGCAGCAAATGGCCCAACAATCTGAAACGACACATTAGAGTCAACAAACAAGAAAAGAGGCCTGATAGTTAGCGACATCAAATATACACATTATACGTGCCCTGCCGTTGATCACAATAAAGCTTTCGCCACCATCTACTCTGCAATCCTCTTTGATTGTCTTTTGCCAACTACGCCAAAAATCATCCATTGCTTTCTTGTCTTCCGCTCGCCAAGCTTTAGCCTTTTCAGCGTGAACGGTCTCAATATTCTCATCTAACAGAATGTCTTCTTGCTGACCAAGAACTGACGCGCCTGCTTTTCCCTCACTAATCCTTGCTGCCTTTTCCAACCCTTTTTTTACAAATTCGAAAGCTTTAGACGGGCTATCAAACGTGTCATGATGTAATTGATAAATAATTGAAGATACGTCATGTTTGTCTGCAGCAGAAACGGGATTATGAATGAAGGAAAGCCTAACATCTTCAGCAGACTCCTATAATATATAACTCATCTTTAGTCCAAGTAACAGGCTATTCTGGAACGTCCATCACTTTATCATACTTTACCAGAAATTTTAAACTCTCCAGAGCTTGCTGCACACCAGTTTCACTATCGAAATCAGCAAACACCCAAACTGTCGTCCAATGACCGTTTGTTCCCAGTTTATCTGTTCATCGTAAGGGTCATGTTACAGCCTGGAAAATGAGATTCTCAGGAGCTCGAATGCAAAATACTTGGAAACACGTTAGCTGCGTGAAAAATTACCCGTGTAAAGATATTTCAGGTGTTGATACTTTGTCGCAACATCATTCCTTCTATCAGCAAGATTCAAAACTTTCAAAGGATGTGATTCCGAGACAGAAATATACATATTTCTTCTTGGCAAGACATTTGGTAATGTCGTGAATAACGTCAACGCGTCTGAATTGTCGTCAAACTCTCCGGAATGCACCTACAGATAGTCCCCACAAAAAACTATTAAATTAGAATAAGTGACATAAGGGGAAAGTAGCTGTGGCCTCTCCTACTTGGGTAAATACAGTTCGATTGTTTGTGACTTTTCAACTTTTCACCATTCACGATCTATTATCTGTCCGCGCCGTGTCTGGCTCGACTTGTATGTCATAACCGCACCTTTTGTTGCAAGAAATTTGTCTGCTCGCCTATAGAAAGCATTATATTCCGTTGATAGCTCTGTTCACAGATTACGATATTATCAGTATCTTTAGCAAAAACAACACGGCTCTCAAAATCATCAAACGAGAAAAAAAACCAAATAACATATTTCATCACACCCGGCTTAAGCTTGAACTCCTACCTCGTCAAAATCATGGTATTTTCCATTTACAAATAATGCGCCACTACTTCCAGGAATTATTGCAAATCGTTTGGCATAAGCTATAGCGCCATCGATTTCCTCAGCAACTGTCGGGTCTTCTTTCAATAATTCGTCCAATTTGGTAATAATCCTGCCATTGTTGGGATTTCTCTTTGTAACAATTGTTTCAAATTCGGCTTGTGCTGTTTCCAATATCGACTTTGATGGCGTCTCCTGGATGACTTTAAGAACCTTTTTGATCATATAAATGAGTTGTTGGTATTAAAAACGATAAGATTATATATTGGGAAAAAAAACCAAAAACATAACAAACCTTGCTTATAAAGTCAAAAACAGTTGGAAAATCGTAATTGTTTTTAAGATAGTAGACTGCACTTGCTATCAATGCGGCTGAAAACGGCAAAACATGTAATTAGAACGATCTGCTCCAGGATAAAACCGTCCGGCGTATGAAATGATCAAAGCAAATCTTCCATCACAAGTCCACTTACAGTCACTCTGTTTATCACCAACGAGTGGAACAAGTCCAAAGCGTAGTGGTATACCGCGCATGATGAACATATTCTCCTCTTCTACCAGTGTAAGCCCTTCGACGCTTGCAAGATCGACTACGTATAATATTGAAAATAGGTTTTTGCGTATTTGCCGTAATGTCCCTGGATACACGGGCCGTAACAACTGTGAATTTTTGAAAAAAGGGCGTATGAATGCTGGCTTATTGGTTCTACACTTTCTTTTTCAACACTACACCAGTTTCCTACCGAGTAAACTGCGGCTGGCCATGATGAATATCTTGGATCCTTCTCTAAATCGTTAAACCACATTAGGACATTGCCATTTTCAGATGTATCGAAAATGTTGTAGATGTTGTTTGAGACGTCATCGGCAGACTTTGTCCAAAGCATAGGAGATGAAACCAAACTAATAGCTTGAACAGCAGTTAACCCAAGTCTTGTGAACGATAGGATAGTATGACGCTCGCGTTTTAGTAGTTTGAGGATTCTGAAATAAATTCGGATTGGTTAGAATATAAACGTTCTCGCGAAATATTCCAGAAATGTATTGATAAAATCTTTCATCACTCACTGGAACGGTTCAAAAGAATTCTCGGAAATTGGCATTCCGTTTAGCCATATGGCGTTCGTTCCAGGTTGGACCGTTGAGTGAACATTCGTTAACTCTTCAACCATTGATACATTAAGCGTAAGTTGTGCGATCGAGTGAGAATATTTGGGAAAATCTTGTGAAAGACGCGTTAACGCCAAAAGAGGATTCTTTGATCCGGTAATAAATTGAGTAGACTTTGTCCCCAAATCTATAATGGAAATTTATTAGTCAAGCTTCATTCGGTCGCAAAACATGGTAATAAAACATGTGTCGATATGTTACGTTTAATTTCTTCAATTTTGAGAGGTTTAATTTCCGATATAGTTTCGTCAAACAAATGCTCCGACAAAGTGCTTCGATGATCCTCTTGCTTAGCGTTAGATGCGTTTTCCTGGTCAGCGATTGCCTCACTTTGTTCCTCTATACAGATTAGCGACAAAACATGTAAGTCATCAGTCTAGCAATTGATGTAACAATTCATCATCATGTACCTGCTCCCAAGTCTCTATCATCGATAACAATATAATCCGTATTCTTTAAGACTAGCTCTACTCCATAACCACTGAGATACAAATCTTCCCTTTTTTGTACGGATGGTGGTTTGTACCTTAATACATATGAAGCAAAATCACGTTCGACCAGAGTCGATATATAACTGTGTAATAGTGAAAATTCTTGGGATAGATCCTCTGTATACAAGATGATGATTGGTTTGGATTGGGATGAACTTGTTGGTTGAAAGACATGATCAAATGACAGTAGTTTTGGAGTGTCTGTGGAACTAGCAAATGTTAACATGATGAGATGATTCGATATATATATTGAGAATATGAGATCATCTTGGCTGACGTGATTCCAAAACGCGAACTCTGATCAGGTAGTGAAATCATGAAATACCTCTTTAACGTACTGCTAAATTCTGATCCCTCTTCATCAACAATTCTTTTCAGTTCCGAGACAGTACAGGCTTGTTTCCCGTACCAATCAGCCCACACTTTGCAATTAGGATTAAATGTATCATTATCCGCTAGAGCCGGTAATACGGCAGTCTCATAATATTGATAATAAGCCTGAATTGTAGGCGCAGCCGTGCTAAGAGAGAGAGATAACTCGAACACAGACTTTGCTGAAGGATCAGATAGAAACTGCTTCGAAGTAATTATATCAAAAACATCATAATAAATTTTGGCGTGTTCAGTGCGAGGCCCAAAGTCATGAATATCACTACGAATTATTTCATTAATAAGCGGAAGATATGCCGACGAATTTTCACGAGACACAGTTTCACTAAAAAGGTTTAAGACAATTTTATTATAAAGACCCATGAGAGAAACAAAAAGATGATACTAACTAATATATGTCTTACACTATTTCTAACAGGATACTGGGTGCATTCCAAGATGCTTTCAACAAAGTTCTAAGAGGTGGTGCTTCAGTACTCCAAATCACAGGTAACAATACACAATACGATAACGCTATCCATGGACTTTTAAGTTGCCATTTAGCAAACATCTTACTTTGCGTCAACCTACAAGCGAAAAAAAACAAATCGATGATAGAAAATGTGACGTTTCCAAGCGCTCATATGATTGGATGATCAAAAAATGACGCGATACTAAGAGAATGTTCATGTACAAACAATAAAATATGCGTTAAATCACATGTACACGTGTACGTTCTTGTCACACGAAGAAATTCACAAGAAATTACTTGCCCATTCTCTTGACGTACCGCAGTTGTAATAATTAAACATGTCGAGTCTCATTATTTAACACAAAAAATAAGGGGTGTGCCAATAAAGACCTCAAAAACGCCTTTGAAGTTGGAAGCAGCAGTCAAGCAGCGATCAGCGCGCTCAGAGAACGATTGAGGAAAAATATTGACCATTACGGATTGATCCTCAAGACTTTATGTTCCCATTGGTATCGACAGAAACAAACCCGTAACTGTTTGTCTCAAAAGATGAGTTGGACGTCCCTAAGAAACGCGCCACTAAATATAAAAGAGCTTTATGTTTTTTGAAACACCCGGTAAGTCATATACCATATCTCTTCCCAATTAGGTTACGTACCATTATCTACCTATCCATCCCAATGTCGATTAACTATGTTTGTTATTCCATTCCTAGATTTGAGTCTCTGATTCAAAGCATACTTTGCCTCATGCAATAATGATGTTCAAATTCTAACTATCCTTGTTCATATTGTCTCTAAAACAACAATCGCGCATCGTCATTTTCGTCAGAAAAATTTCTCAATTAACTCCATTCAATGTCGTTAATAAATCCGTTACTACATTTTAGCTTTTGTGACTCGTATCATACATACTGTTAAGAGTCTTGATTTAATTAATGTTTATAACAGTAAAATGGTAAATCTATGTTCGGGACCATTATCTTGAGTAAGTAATTTGGGTAGACACATTTGCGCCACGGACGGGGTGTCCCACCCTTTTCTTCCGCGCGTGTTCTAAAAGATTGAAGTGAAATAAATCGCTTCAATCAAAAATTTGGAGGACAAATAAGATTGTCCTGCAAATTGAATTACTAGCTCCACGCGACCGGCTCGTTAGCGAGCGTCCCCACGGTTCCTCGCACATCTTAGAAACCTCAAACTCCGTTTACTTAAATACTAAGCTTGGTTTGGTGGCATTAATGGTGGTCGCGAGGTTGATCCTACCATCGCCGCCGTGTGCTCCCTAATACCATCAAAAAAATAAATAAGTATTGTGTCATAGTATTCAACAAACAGTTTTGATAGTCGTCGCAGCCGAAAGAGTATCTCGACAGTTTTCAGTACGGAGTTATATATTTGCACCTCTACGTGTTTACCAAACCCCGATTTACACCTAACGGGCGACTATTATACAAATTCTTACACAAATTTCCCGTCTTTTAAGAATGTAACTCTGTTCGTTTGCCGTCGGAGCCTTCCGCGTCTGCGTCGTTGTCGGTGTACTTCGGCGTTCGACGCGTAAGGAGGGAACGTGAGCAACCAATAAATCATGATTAGAATTCCAATAACTAGCAAAAAATTTTTTCAGTTCTTTTCAAATTGCCATTCGCCCAGTTGAATGGTTACCGATTCAGCTTTTATCTCAGTGGGTATGGCGGGTACGGTATGAAAGAGAGCAAAATATGACAAAGATTGGTTTTATACTAGTGGTGGATAGCGTGTTATTGTTTGATAAGCCGTCCTTTGCCGTATGTTCACAACATAATTTCTTGTGACAGAATTTTTTTGTTGTACGTTTACGCTTTGGGGAAAGGGAGGTTGGTGTGAAGTGATGAAGCGGCAATGCAATGGAGAGAACGTGTGTCTATATATATGTGAGAGAAAACGCGTGTCGCGTGTTAGATAACAAATTTAACGATCGCGTCATAGTGCCCTTATAAGTATAAATGTTGTTATCTATGCAGTAAAAGGTGCCAATAGTAACGCTTAAGCGATATCAATATAACAGATAAGGCAGTGTCCCTGATCACGGAAAATGAGCGGTGAGGCTCTAGAAAAGACATCCCATTTTGTGCTAAAAAATCCCCGTCAAAGGCATGTTTCAGGACAGCGTGATGTACGTCTATCTTTGGATGTGTCGCTAAAGCGTTCATTCTCTTTCGCCGTATTAGAGAACAACCACCTAGATACTTCAATAATGGGCAATTGCAAAATTGGTACA